GATTCATAATCATAAAATTTTTACATGATATTGCATTTTGATCAATCATGCATAATTAATAATGTCAATGACAATGAATAAACTTGAAAACAATTGAATCCATAAGAAAAACCCTAGAATGGGGCAAGATTCATAATGAGAATTTGACGTTTCTTTAGGAGGAATCCATTGAAGAAGTCCTCACACACATGATTAAATCTCTAATTAATTGAAATTCAAAACGGAGACTTGACTTGAAACCGTAGCGTTCTAGGGGAAGAAGAGTTGATAGAGAAATTTTACAGTTTGAGAAAATGAGCATAAATAGGAAGGTTATGGGTCTTAAGAACCATTTTGAAGTCTTCAAAATAATTCCAAAATGATATATGAAGAAATCCAAAGTAAAATCAAGAGTTTTTTGAATTCCAACTAGGACACGACTTCCTTTCTGTAACTATTTACTAAAACTCATTTTTTTGAGTCGCCAACCCATTTTCAGGGCCTCGTGAAACCCAAAATCACTAGACTTCAACTATTTCTTTTTGTGAATTGAGCGTTGCACTTTGGATATGTGTTGCAATATCTCCTCTTAAAAATATTTGCCCCAGAATGAAATTCAGATAAGCATGAGGAGATTAGGGGAAAAAAATCTAACACAGAATTCATAAAACGCTGTGGTAGTCGTTGGTAAAACAATAATAAACTTTTTACTCTAAACTTGAAATAAAATGAGGCAGAGAAGACACATAGACCTTAATTTGATAAGTCATAGGCCACATAATTCGATCTTAATTTGATCGGTCATAGGCCACATAATTCTTTATATGCTGATAGATAAGATCGCTTAAACTTACATTGATCTATGTAGAATATTTTTATATAAACTCAATCGATAAGAAAACTTTCAAACTCAAGTTGTACTAGGGGATTCTTGTGACTTTATGATTCTATCTCATTTTTGTTCCACACTAAGAAATTGACCTTAACACCTAAGATAAATTTAAGAATCATTCAATCGATTTTATACGCAAATAAAAAATAATTCCAGTCTTAGCTTAGAAATTTTTGGAGTGCTTACACTTTGAATTCACATAAACATAAAGAACATTAATAAATCTCTGTTCGTTACTTTATTACTTGTCTAAAATTGTGATATTAAAATTGACTAGACTTTTGCTAAATCACAATTCGATACGATATCGGTTCAAACTAAATCATCCTATATGAAACATATGAAATATTTGTTATATCTAAATAATAATCATAATCTTGCTTTAGTTTAAATCTTAGCTATTAACTTTAATTCATTGCATACACCTTTCATTAAATAAAAACATCGAAAAAAATAAGAATATTAAATAGAAATGGAGAGGAGTTGAATCCTTGTACGATATTATAAGTTAGTCATCATTAACTTTACACATCCATATAGATAAGAGAACTCAAAGATAACCTACCATATCATATTTCGTTTCATATATATATATATATATATATATATATATATATATATATATATTCATACGCCATTTTGAACATCTTAAACGCAACCTCCTCTATATATACCCTTATAATTCTCCTTAATTCCAATAATACTACAGATACATACATACAATAATTATTTCCATTTTTCTATACATACATAACAATAATGAATGAAAAATATTTTATTCTCATTATTTTTGTCCTTGCATTTGCTTATTCCGGCGAGTCACGGCAGCCATTTGCATGCGATCCAGCAAACGCAGGGATACGAAACCTACGTTTCTGCAAAACATCTCTACCAATACACGTTCGAGTACAAGACTTGATCGCGCGATTGACGTTACAGGAGAAGATTAGATTGTTGGTTAACAATGCTGCACCAGTTCAAAGGCTGGGTATCAGTGGATACGAGTGGTGGTCGGAGGCACTGCACGGTGTCTCCAACACCGGATACGGTGTTAAGTTTGGTGGCGCCTTCCCTGGAGCCACCAGCTTCCCACAAGTTATTACTACTGCCGCTTCATTTAACGCCTCTTTGTGGGAAGAAATTGGCCGGGTAAGTCATTTTACATTTGATTCCATACAAAATTTTAAAATTTGTGATTCTTAAGGGTAAAATTTATCATTCATTTTTGGAACTTACTAAAACAAAAAAAAAGTATATCACATAAATTGGGAATAATTAATTTGGATATATATACATATCCACTCTTTATGTTATCGAAATATTTTAATTCACATATAGGTAATACAAACAAGAATTTGATATTATGTTGCTATCACTACGTATAGAAAATGAATCTTTTATATGAAAATGACTTAATAAATTAAACTCACTCACATGATTTTTCACTATTTTCTCAAAAAAAATATAAAGTGCGATGATTATTTTTATAATTATTTTAATTTAATTGGTGAGAAAAATAATATAAAACTTTCAACTATTTTAGCTAGAATATGTTTTTTACCTTGTAAAAAAAATTATGTTTTGTAGTATAAACTATCCATGATTTAGCGGTGGAGAAAACTTTATTTGTAGTAATATTGTCGATATGATGAATAAACTCTAGCATGAATAGGATAAGATATTTCAAATATATATTATATAGTTTCTTTAGAATATTGTATTTATATAATATTCTTTAATAAGTTAGAGGACAATGGCCACAGACCACCAATAGAGTTAAATGTTTTATTTTGTTTGTGTCAATGAATAAGAGAGTAATTTTCAGTAGGTTAGGTAGACTCAACACATGTGACTTATATATACTGATGAAAGTTAGGACTTTATTATTATTAACTGTCATGTGATATATTGTCAACATATTATCATTGGTCGATGGTTACACATTTACTTATTTATTTATATATTTATTTTGCTTTCAATATTATTGCTATTTGAACGATGATGTTATTTGGTTGCATCTTTATTTTTGATTGGATGAGTAACACTTATCATATTTATATTTTAACTACAAATATATGAAGTTAAAAGAAAGGGCCACAAAACAAAATATAATAGAGAAGAAAAGGGATCCACTATTATCATGTTTTGAGACACCAAATATCTAAAAGTGCCATCCATGAGATAAGTTACTATTCATATATTATCTATAAAATTGAACCCTTTTAACATTTTTGTTTTTGTTTTTGAAAAAAGTAATAGGTATACGAAATAATAATAATAATAATAATAATAATAATAATGATAGTAATAACAATCATCATAATAATAATAATAATAAAGAAAAGAGGATAAGGTTTTGGCCATGCCTACACATGCATGAATGTTTTGTTTTGTGGTCACAAATATTATTTAAAAAAAAGAAAAAGATTGGCCAAAAAGCAAGTCCTTGCAACTGGCAGTGGGTGGAAAATGGGGAGATTCTGTTGTCATGATATCGATATTTTATGTTTATTATTTTAATGATGATATTGATATTTACTAATTTGATAGGTACTTTCTTTTGGGGATCATGAAAAGGGTTAGGATGAAAAAAAGAAGCAATTAGTAAAATATATTTATTTGAATACACGACATGAAAAGAATTACATACAATTTTGATATAATAAACTAATAAAATAAAACTTGTGCAAAATATCTTTACAAATACAAAAAAAAAATATTGAAATCAAAGATATCAAAACTCATGTTAAACAAAAAATAGTACTAGAGAAAGAAAAGCAAAAAAGCAAAGAATTTTAAGTTTAGAAAGAAAACGTCAAAAAAATTTAAGTTTAGAAAGAAAACGTTAAAGAATTTTAAGTTTAAAAGAAAACGCTAAAGAATTAAATTTAAGAAAGAAAACGTCAAAGAAGTAAATTAAGAAAGGAAACGCCAAAGTTATGGTTGATGCAAGTTGAGGAGGTTGCTATCATTTTCCTTTGTCTCAATAATATTCATGCAAATATGAATGGACCACATCCCACATGTATTCTTTAATATAATAATGATATTTATGGATATTCAAATTTAAACAATTTACCAATTACTACTATTCATCTTCTATCACACTTAATATAGAAAATTTTATATATTTAGAAGCTAATTATATTCTATATTGAAAGGTTTTTTCAATTACAAAAAAATTTAAATGTTTCATTATTTTCAAATACATTATTTGGTTGCCTGATATGTTCACTGTTTGTACATTTTTTAATTGATACACGTATTAAAAAAATTATTATTGACATAATAAGTTTACCATTTTATTCTTATTAATTATGAAGTGGATGAATTAAAAATTTAAGTTTTTCAACAAATTATACCTTTTTCAAACTAATTAATTCAAAATATAATAGGTAAAATTATTATATTCTTTCTTGATTTGTCAAAATGATCAAATAATTAGGAACAACTATTAAAGGAAAATTGATTAAGTAATTAGGGATAGAAGGAGTACATTGCAAAAGAGATATTACTTAATGGGAGGGATATATCCTAGAGAGGATAAAGGGGAGGAATGAATCGAAAAATAGATAGAAATATATTTAAGAGAGGAATTTTATAATATTTTTATCATAGACAATTTTAGAGATTATGATAACTTAAATTATGTATTTATGTAATTTTACCGAATATGATATAATGGAATGAGAAAGTAATTTTTCAAAGAAATCGCTATTTACATAATTAAGTTCATTCCTTCATTTATCCTTGGAAGTGAATGAAACTTTTACCTAACAATTAAATGAGATTAGCTACCGGGATTATGTTCTCTTAATTACTTCAAATAAAGTATTTTATTTCTAAAGACGTAAAGTTCCTAAATATTGTACAGCTGCAAATTCCAAATTTGATATCCTTTTTCTTCAACTTAATGTACCCATATTATTATTATTTTTTTATTATTATTATTATTATTATTATTATAATAATAATAATAATAATAATAATAATAATAAAATAATAATAATAATAATAATAATAATAATAAAATAATAATAATAATAATAATAATAATAATAATAAGTAGCACTATAAAAAAACGCGACCTTTTTCTTTTGTCATTGTATGGAAAAAGTAATAAATGAAAATTAGGACAAAACTTGTTAATAGTTGGTTTTGGGTCCCATTAGTACTTAACAAATCGTTTTATTAATTTGTTGAGTGTAAACTTTGTCTTAATTAATTAAGAGTTAAGTTTTTCCAACTCACAACTTTTTTCTTTCCTTAAAATAATGTCTTTATCTTTCACTTATCTTCTTCTTCATTTCTTTTGGATTTTTCGACTAATTAAATTACATCACTTTCAAAGAAGCCTACAAGAGAAATTATTGTCAATGACAGACAAACGTTAATTATACTTCATCATGTTAATATATTTCCTCGATCCCTCCATTTCATTTTTTTTATATATAAGTCACGGTTTGATTAAATATTAGAATAATTTTGTTGAATATTATAATATTAAACGAAGAATGTGTTTTAGTGTATCAAATTCTTATTTGACTTCTTTGATCTGCAGAGTCTAATCAATTTTTCTTTGCAACATTCACAAATTCACCTCATAATAAATTTAATTACACTCCACGGCTACGATTTGCATATTTACAGGTTATAGCTACATCTATGTCATTTATATGATTGACGGATTTGCATATACAATTCGCAAATTTATATAATTTGCAGGTACATTTGTATAATTCAATTATTTTATATAAACTTGAAATAACGAATCTATACAATCACAAACATTAGCAGTGTAAACAATTAGACAAATTATAGTATATAAATTTCGAATTATACGTAAAACTAAAAATCCTAACTACATAATTATAATTAAAAGTAAGTTACGAATGTATAATTAAGACAACTATAGCTATGTTATCTAGTATACACATAAGTTTTCCGAATAATGAATTAACGTGATATGGGATTTGTTTGGATACGACATAAGGTGGTTTCTGAGGAAGGTAGAGCGATGTATAATGGAGGAGCAGCAGGACTAACATTTTGGAGTCCAAATGTGAATATATTTAGAGATCCAAGGTGGGGAAGGGGTCAAGAAACACCAGGGGAAGACCCTCATTTGGTTGCACAATATGGCGTTAGCTATGTAAAAGGACTACAAGGAGGTGGCGGTAGGGGCAATACACGGTTGAAGGTGGCTGCTTGTTGCAAGCATTACACGGCTTATGACCTTGATGATTGGAATGGCTATGATCGTTATCACTTCAATGCTAAGGTAATTAACCATATCTAATTACTCCTACGTCCCGTTTCAATTTATGTAACACATTTCAAATTTTAAATAAGTTTATCTTATTAGTACTACTTTGATTTCCTAATCTATTTAATTAATTAGTTTTTCCTTATCCTCTCATGAGGTTGAAATTTGAGACCTTTTTTTTTTCTTGCTTGCACGGAATTTCATCTTGAATAGACATGCTGCGAAGTAATATTTTGAAAAGTTCTATACATATCTTTTTCTACAAACTATCTATAAGAATGTGTATGTGTAGTAGCCACATATGCAGAATCTTTTGTAAGTAGTGTCAATATTTAAAAATTAATAAATAATAAATGATTGATATAATAACATTATATTAATAAAAACTATTTAGAAAGTGACTCAAGTAAATTACTGAACTATCTTCGATGAGTATTCATATTTTGAAATGTATTTATAGTCGTCTCATTGAAAATAGTATTAAGTAATAAATATTCTGGTGCAATTGACTTATTTTAGCTTAATTTGACTATAGATAGGAATTTCGAGGTTCAAATCTCGATAATATTTTAAAAAAATTGAAAATTTCTCAAAAATAAAAATAATATTTAAAAGTTTCTCAAAAGTAAAAAAATAATTTGGCCTCATTAATTGAGGCTCAACTTGGCCCATGCCACACGAATGCCCATTGATTTCACACTACAAACGAGCCAAGTGATTCAATTGTTTTAATATTGAATATATATATAGTCAGTTATTATTATATGTGAACTTGTGATTGTAAGTATAAAATTCATGAAATTTTAGTTTATATGAGACTCTTGCTAGCTATTTTTCTCATATTATTATTATTATTACTATTAATAATAATGATAATAGTATCATTTATTCATTTTCTCTTGTTTTTTAGTGTTGCAAATTCACATAGGCCAAATTGTAGAAGAGGGAAAATAATGTTGAAGTATTTATTTTAAATTTGAAATGTGTAGGTAAGCATGCAGGACTTAGAGGATACTTACAATGTGCCATTCAAGGCATGTGTGGTTGAAGGTAATGTAGCAAGTGTGATGTGCTCTTACAACCAAATCAATGGAAAGCCATCTTGTGCTGACCCTACTCTCCTACGTGACACAATTCGTAACCAATGGCATCTTAACGGGTACGAGATGAGATAAATAAAGTTAATTCTATGAATTGAGATAAAATGATTTTGCATGTTATCACACGAGTCATCATTACACATGTATATCTCTATCAAAATTAATTAATACTCGTACCAAAAATTAAGTTCATTCTAATTATTCCGCTATGTTATATGAATGAACTAAGTGCTATGTAATCTCAAAAACAAATATATGGGAATTAATAAGAGAACTTTAGATTAATCATTGATATCATCATGTCCAATCACTATGGTTGAAAAATTAGACACAAATATATATATATATATTGTAGTTGAATGATTATAGAAGCTATAGTACATGTTGTGTTGTACTAAATAATAACTTGTTTCCTTGTAAAACAGATACATTGTATCAGATTGTGATTCTGTTGGAGTACTATTCGAGAAACAACATTACACTCGTTACCCTGAGGATGCTGCAGCGATCACTATCAAAGCTGGTTTGTTTCTGTTGTTTTCCTAAATGTAAGTTTCATACTTAAACTATCACTTATTAGTTTGACGATCGTATAGGGTTGGACTTGGACTGTGGGCCTTTCCTAGCCATCCACACAGATAAAGCTGTCCGTACAGGCAAAGTTTCACAAGTAGAAATCAACAATGCTTTAGCCAATACAATTACAGTCCAAATGCGTCTAGGAATGTTTGATGGGCCCAATGGGCCTTATGCAAATTTAGGCCCAAAAGATGTGTGCAGTCCAGCCCATCAACAGTTGGCCCTTCAAGCTGCTCGTGAAGGCATTGTTCTTCTCAAAAATATTGGGCAGGCTCTTCCACTGTCCACTAAACGACACCGTACAGTTGCTGTTATTGGGCCCAATTCAGATGCTACACTTGCCATGATTGGCAATTATGCTGGTAAATATTCCATATATAATAATCTCTCTTCTTTTTCTTATTTATATAAATATAAATTACAAAGGGGAATTGATCTTATACAAAATAATACCAAGGTGTTAGGAATATGTAAGATTTACTACAAAACATCATAACTATTGTCTTGAATATATTAGGTATCTTACCACTACTAATTAAGAGTTGAGAAGATACACTTAGATACATGTATCTTTTGCAAACTGAAATAAAAACAGAGAGGCGAAGGAGATTTTGTTATGCATCCATATATATGGGATACCAGATGCATAAGAGAGTGGCGAGCGAAGTTTGTTATGTATCCCCAATACATGCGAATCCACTTGGATATACCATGTATATCTAGAACAAATTTATGTATCTGGACATATCTGAACGCATCTGAATGCACCAAAGTTTGGTAAGATATGTAATATTACAAATTAAAATGTATCTAATACTCTTTTATATTATATGTATATAGGTGTTCCATGTGGTTATATTTCACCATTACAAGGAATATCAAGATATGCAAGGACAATTCACCAACAAGGATGTATGGGAGTAGCTTGTCCAGGGAATCAAAACTTTGGATTAGCAGAAGTGGCTGCAAGGCATGCTGATGCCACTGTGTTGGTAATGGGACTTGACCAATCCATCGAAGCCGAAGCTAAAGACAGAGTTACCCTTCTTCTCCCAGGACACCAACAAGACCTCATTTCTAGGGTAGCTATGGCTTCTAAAGGCCCCGTAGTGTTGGTCTTGATGTCCGGTGGCCCCATTGATGTTACATTCGCCAAAAATGATCCTCGTGTTTCCTCTATTGTTTGGGTTGGCTATCCTGGTCAGGCTGGTGGAGCTGCCATTGCTGATGTTCTATTTGGAGCAACCAATCCAGGTATATATGTATGTTATATACTTGATTATATCACCTTGTTAACCATTTAACTTTAATGAAATGATTTATAGTCACACTGCACAGTACACAAGTGGTATATACATTTGAGAAGAGGTTATTCTTTTTTAAACAGACTAAAAAGGAAAATAAGATTGAATTTATTTTATTTGGTGATACAAATAATAGTTTGTAAATTTGCATATTTCAGGGGGGAAGCTACCAATGACATGGTATCCACAAGATTATGTAGCTAAAGTGTCAATGGCAAACATGGACATGAGAGCAAATCCATCAAAAGGGTATCCCGGTAGAACCTATAGATTCTACAAAGGCCCAACAGTTTTCCCATTTGGGGCTGGCATTAGCTACACAACATTCAGCCAACATTTAGTCTCCGCACCAATCACTGTTTCAGTGCCAACTCTTCATTCTCATGATCTTGTATCGAACAACACAACAACATTGATGAAAGCGAAAGCTACAGTGAGAACAATACATACCAATTGTGAGTCACTTGATATAGATATGCATATTGATGTGAAAAACACAGGGGACATGGATGGAACACACGCGGTCCTCATTTTCTCAACCCCACCTGATCCCACGGAGACAAAACAACTCGTCGCCTTTGAGAAAGTTCATGTTGTGGCTGGGGCTAAGCAGAGGGTCAAGATCAATATGAATGCTTGCAAACACCTTAGTGTAGCTGATGAATACGGAGTTCGAAGGATTTACATGGGAGAGCACAAAATTCATGTGGGTGATCACCTCAAACATTCTATAACCTTTCAACCTTCATTGGAGGAGATCAAACTCTAAGAATACTTTTAAGGACTAAGTCATAGATAGTCATGCTTTGGTTTCTATTCTTGCAATGAATACTTGTTAATTGTTTCTTTCCCCTCATCATAATAAAAGCCAACAACAAGTGTAAAGAAGCTCTGTTGTTTGGGAATGAGAGGGGAAAGGTTAAAAACAATATTAATTAGGGATTTGGGATATATATAATTAAGACAAAAAGTTATAGCAAGTGTTGATTGGGTTCAATATAATCAAATGTGACATAGAATTTGAGGATGAAGCATTTGAACACCTTCTTTCCAATGATTGTTTTCCATTGTAAGTTGGAATATAGTATTGTTGTATAATATCGATTAAATTCATCATTAGATAACGACTAAAAGTCTCATTTTGTAAGAAGACCTATTTGGTGTGATCGCGCCGTTACCATAGTATTTTCTTCTCATTTTTTCTTTAGTTATTATTTAATAATCTTATCTTATCTTCTACTTTACCTATTATTCATAGTACTAGTTTTACCTCGTATCCTACTTTTTTTTTTGTAGGTTATCATTCGAATTGTTGATGTCTAACATTATGTAACGAAATTGATGGTCTGACTTGGATTTTTTAAATTAATTATAGCAACTAATATGAGATGGAAGAAGTATATTTTCTTAGCTTTAATATGTGCATCGCTTTCCGATTATGAATCTCAAAAAGTAAATTAAATAATTGCAATGGAAGGAGGTGGTGTCACTTGGATTAGAGTATATGGGTCCTAATACCATCTTCAACTTCAAGATGCATGTTTCTTTGATTATTTGCATGTGGTGAATTTGAGTCGGTTGATATGCCTACTGCTACTAGTATGTGTTGTTTGTAATGATACTATTCTTGTTATGCCACTTGACATAGTTTGGTTGTAGGATTTAGTTATGTTTTATAGGTGAAGACGATGATGATCTGTGATAACTTCTTCTCCTATTTTTTTTTATGGTGTGAATTGTGTCTTATTTTTTCTATCATTTGTACTCTTTCAAAGACCTTGTACCTGATTAGACTAGCTTCTTGGTAAAGATTGATATGTTTCTTTAAAAGAACTTTTTAAAAATCAAGTTTAAGAGTATTTTCTACTTTTAAATAGGGTATTAGATTATGTTTTGTTCATTTCCGCATTTAATGTTTCAGTTTTGAAGGTAAGAATTCTCCTATTTAAGTGAATAGAGTAGGTATTTGTACGGGCCGTTGGATTGAATTGTGACATTATTTTATGTTGCATACTTTGGACATGAAATAATACTTTTTATTTTATAACCAACAATATATGATATATTCATTTGTAAGACTTGTGTCACATTGGTGGAGAAACACTTTCTCAACCAAAAATTTATATTCTCATAACTTAGGACTCAAACATTTGTTTTAAGGATTGAAGGATCTTATCCAATCCACCCCTCACAGATAGGAAAAGTTTGTTATTCAAATGTTTCACCCTCTTCAAAACAATTTCCAAGCAAATATACCAAAGTATTAGGTCATGCTTGTTTAGTGGAAACTAACAAATTCAAATTGTAAAGTAAATATATCAAAATGAATTCATTTAGATGGTTTTTTTCTTATAAAACACAATACATAACCTCAAATAATATTCTCTAACACTATTTAGGTGTGTATACCATCTATTGAATCAAGAATATTGATTTTGTTTTTTAAAAAATATTTGTTAGCTATTTTGTACATGGTTCAAACTAATATATAATTTCAAGTAAAATTAGCAAAACCAACACCTCTCATCATCATCCTCTTAAACTCCATAAAATCAATCCTTCCATCTCCATCAACATCCACATTGTTAATCATCTTCTTACAATCCTCAACGTTTCCCCCTTGTTTGAGTCCGAGGGATCCCAACACTGATTTTAGCTCATCGACTGTGATAAATCCGTCTCCATTTTGATCAAACACGTTGAATGCCTCTTGCATGTCTTCATCTTCATCTTCATCATCATCCATAAAAATCATCTTAAAAAGTGCACTAAACTCATCAAAATCGACATATCCATCGCCATTGACATCAATATTTTGTATCATTTGGCCTAACTCACAATCCGGAATATATATACCCATTTTTCTCCAACGAATCATTTAGCTCGTTCATTGTTATATGTCCATCGTTGTTCTTATCGAATATCTGAAACAGCCGCCTCAGCTCCTCCGCATTCATCTTTTTTAATAAAATTATGCGGTAAACGGAGACGGCCACCTTTATTCAGAGATTGATGTTAAAGAATATACCTAATGTTGTCATTGAAGGTTTTTTTTTTTTTATATGAAAATGAAATAATATCTAGTGGTTTTGCTATCTTTGAGTGAGAAAATTCTGCAGAAAAACTTGGGCAAGGATCAAATTTATTTTTTATGAGAGGGTTGGAAAAACAATAGTCAATCAAAATTTAAATATATTCTATATTTTATAAAAATAATATACATTACTCAATTTGTCACAATTTTATTAGACAACAAAAAATATTCAAAGATCACCAACGGCAATTATATTAGCGTCCTTTCTATATATGTCCCTAAAGTCTTTAGCGATATTAATTTTAATGACACTTAACTAATGCCAATAAAAACTTTGACACTCTTTATTAATGTTAATATTTATTGCCGCTAAAAGTTGTTTTTGTGTAGTGCGTATAACTAGTTTTTTTTAGATATGTAAGTTTATTCTTAAGTTCAATTCATAGGGTTTTAGTTGGTTTTTTCATATATTATATGTTTCTAAAATTATTTATTTTTAATCTCCGCACAACGCATGGATACGGATACTAATATTTTTGAAGGAGAAAGGCCTAAAATGTCATTAAACACTACAAAAAAACACTTAAAATCTGGGGGTTAAAATTACATATTCCGGAGGTCAGTAACCCCCGCAACTTAGTTTTATGGCAGTTGCAGAAACTCCTACAATTAGGTGTGCCACAATTATGTTGCAGGGTTTTTTTTCCAACCCCTGGTACCAATAGCGGAGGTTTGCTAACGGGGGTTTTGAACCCACAAATTGATAACTGCACAAATTCTAGGATTTAGAACCCCAACAATTTATATACTCTGGGAGTCAAAAACCCCACGATTCATGAATTATACATTAAAACTAACAAGAGTTTTAACTCCTGCTATTTATGAAATGTATCTTTTTCTAAAATTTTGCTGAAAATTAAATATTCAAATTTAAATAATAATAACTAATTAATTAACATAGACAAATCTAAAAGGGCATATTAGTATATGAAATAACACAATAGTTCACCACGGAAGCATGTCATAAAGTGTACTATTAGTTCTACAAACTTAATTAGAACATGTTATTCACTTCAACCATATTATTACAAGAAACTTTCAATCACTACAAAAACTTGCTTGAACTTCAAATCACTACAAAAAATTGCTTAAACTTTAGATCACTAGCATCCAAACTCAAGAAAGGATCTACAATTATTCATGAAACTTCAGCGGGGTTCACTACGATTACTATCACTAACATCACCTGGCTGCAAAGGAAAATACACATGTAAGTGACTTCATGCAAACTCAAGACTTTTACTCTGATAAAATATGAAATAATGCAAGCTAACACTAAGCATGTGAACAACAATACTAAATTCACTACTATGAAAGTAAATACCAATGCCACTCATTAACAAATAGGAGATGTAATCATGCACTTTGCTTAGAGATATGAACTGTCTTTGCAAGTACAACAAGACCAAGCAATTCAGATGAGTTTATGCGGAAATACTCATAGCATGATTGCGTTTAAGGATATGAAAATCACAAATCCTAAAACTGATTCGACCTCAACAAATAACAATAGTAGTACATATCTGCATATGTGCAAATATGCATACGTCTCAACAAATAACAATAGTAGTACATATCTGCATATGTGCAAATATGCATACGTACAATATTTGTGATTTACCTGATGTTACTCGGCAGGCTAAGGAAAAGAAGTCAACAACAAGAACAATGCAAAGTAAATACAAACTTGTCGTTTAGACGCCAGAAGAAAACTCTTCATGGACTATAAATTAGGTTGTTGTGTATTTCCATAAGAGTACATAATGTTGCACAAGAAGCTCAAAAGGAAAATCATCTCCATTTACAAATATTGGACAGTAAAGGCCAATTTGCTGCACATTATACACTAGCAGTGGCCATGCATATGTAGAATTGTTTTTCAATTAGTATTTGATGCACTAGCATTTGTTTTTCAATTAGTATTTGATGTAAACTAAACGAACATATCTGATATATAAATAAGGTCATTGAAGAAGAGAGAATGTAAACATTATATTTACCATTGTAGTAGTAGGAGCAAATAACCCCACAAATTGTTCTGGTAATGCCCCTTCTTTCATTATCATATATGACTTGAAATCAGCCATCATTTGAATGTGAGAATTCAACAATTTATTGTAGTTCTCCTGGCAATTGGATGGACATGAAACACTCGAAGCATTCATACCGCTGAATCGAGGTCTTGCTTGTTTAAAAACTCTAGTGGGAACAACTCCTAATCCCAAACACCTTACCCTTCCAGAGTGCTCTTTTCCTAGAATTTTTCCAACTGCATCATCTGGCGATATTATAGACTCATCCACATTGCTTTGACTCAGAGTTTGCTAAATTTTTTCCTGAGTATAGTACACACACAAAACACTATCAAAATTTTAAAAAGTAATTGAGAACAAAGATGTATTACCTAAATATAATCAAAGTGCATTCACATATTCCTGAGTTAGGAATTCCTTTACTCTTGAGTTTAGCATTCATAAAATAAGCAAAGTACATGCATATATTCAATCCAAGTGAGAGAGAATTAGTGAGACATAATTTTAAATCATTTACTCAAGCAAGGATTTTAAATCACTTCAAAATGACAGCACACTATACTAAACAAGGCACCATCAAACTGATTTGAACAATAACAATGACGAAAATATTAACAGAGAATCTCAGGTTTAAAATAAATAAGAGACTAAACATAAACTGCTTGACTTAACTTGTTAATAGAATAGGGACAGACTTGACACAACCAAGGAACTGGAGTGCTATTATTTCCCCCATTAACTAACTTACACAGATAACTTTTGCCGCTTCATTTACATATGCTCCATCTT